ATATATATATATATATATATATATATATATATATATATATATATATATTCCCCACTATCGACCACCATATGGTCGGTAGTGGGGAAGGAACAGGCTGGAAAACTGCTGGGTCGTGTGTATGACAAAATGGTGTACCTTATCAGGTGTTTGGAGGGGAGGGTTGGACTACAAAGGTGGGGGTATATTAGCTTCTATTTCATCCCTACTGACCGCCAGAGGCGGTACTTCAAGCACAGAATGATCATTCTTGCGCATGCGCAGGTCGAGTACTAATGACAACAAAGTCACCTGTGACCTGCCGGGGACCCACGTGACTCTATATAGTCACGTGGCACCCGGCAATCAATCCCTTTTGTTCTTCCCGCGCGCAGTTGTGTTGAGTACAGTTGTGTGGTCGTGTGAAACTGGTTGCTTCTGTGTATACCACTATTTTCCTAGCTGCTTGTTGCTGGTAGCCCTGTGACCGGGTTTGGTAGGAGCTGCGGGTAAGTCTCGCCCTCCAGGGGCTGCACAAGCTGCTTTTACCTTACCAGATCTGCGGTGGCTGCGGTGACTGGTAAGTTTTCGTTCTTTTCTCAGCAGTAGTTTACTGTTGGCTTTGATTTGCCACGTTAATTTTTGTGGCTCTTTTGACTCACGGTAGCGTTTCTGCTCGCGCTGAGTGGTTTTCAGTTTGTTTATCTAAACTCACCAATAGCGTCTGCTCGCGTTGAGTTTTTACCTGAACTCACCAGTAGCGTTTCTGCTCGCGTTGAGTCCTTCTACAGTTTGTTTATCTACACTCACCAGTGGCTTCTCTGCTCGTGCTGAGTTCATCTTTGGTTGATAATCGATTTGCTAGTGGCGTTTCTGCTCACGCTGAGTTTGGAACCTCTACGGGGGTTTTCCTACAACAGAGTCGCCAGTAGCCTTTTCTGCTCGTGTTGACTTCTTGTTGGTGGCGGGCTAATCACGCCTTTCAGCAGTATGATGGTGGATAATTTATGCTGCTCGACCTGTCTGGCTCCACTTCAGCCCGACGACGGGCATGACTTGTGTCCCTCCTGCCTCGGTGTGGAACATCTCTGGGAGGTGCTATCAGATAACGCTTGCCCCAACTGTTGTGTCATGCCCCGTTCAGTCAGACTGGATCGGTTGGCTGCACTGGAGCAGCCTACCGACTGGGCGGGCGCTGCGCCGCGTACTCGCCGATTGGGAAAGCGATGTGCAAACGATCTACTGTGGCTGCACCTTCGGTACCGACAAAGCATGCCAGACGGACCGATGCAGGGAGGTTGTCCACGAGAGTGGATCATCTCACTACTGAGCTGGCCCAAATGAAAGCCCTCCTCCAGTCCTTTCAGACTGCTGATGATCGCAGCGCGGCTCTCCCTCCCGAGCAGGATGAAATGTCAGTCAATGACGACGATGCTGTTTCTGTGGCGGCCTATGGCACCGATTTCTGTGAGAACCTTCCGGAGCTGGGCTCCGGGGCCTCTGGGTCGGAC